GAGGATTCGAAAATGTGTAGGATCAAGTCTAACTTGGACCCTCGGGGCACCGAGAAACTAGGTACCTCGTAGATACATTGGCTCGCTGGGCAGTGACCACCGATCGACCACTGATTGACGATCTGGAGGTTGGGGGGGCGGCACGGAGATGAGGACCGCGGGATCACACCACAGACGGGACCTGTGAGGCTCGAGCAGAGGAACCGAGATATGTAGAATGCACTTGTCGAGAATTTAGGTTGTTCCCCGATGATTCCTGCGAGAATGGGCGGTTGCGCTGGACTTGGAACAAGCAGTCAGAGCCGTGTAAGAACGTGGCCCTCCTTGGGACCCCCAATCTCTCTTCCTCCTCTGCCTCCGTTGCAGCTATCACAAGCGGCCATGTGGGCGGCATGCGGGTGTCATGCAACTAAGAGACGATGGCCCGGCTCCCCTCTGCGAAAAGTAACCCTAGACTTTCCCGTCCACCGTCCACCCGGCGTTCTTCTGGGGGAACCGTGACAATGGCTCGCTGGGGGGATGCTTCCAACTGCAGACAGCTATTTCCGTGCTGTTTGCTGCTGGCTGCAGCTAGCCTCACCGCTGAAGACCTCCGGACTCTTTGTACCTTGGTTTTGCTCGATTACTTGCAAGCAAAGAGATCATCAGGCTGGCAGGGTCCGCGGGTGCAGGCGGTTCCGGCCGCAGTGGAGGGCTGTCCAGTACCGTGAACATCTCGACAGGGCCGTCATTGGCGTCCTTGATCAGTGGACCTTTTGTTCGTATACCATGTTCTCAGCGGCCAGCCCAAACCAATGCCGGCCAAACTGCGTTAAGGAATTCGAGTCAAGGTGGGGGAGAGGTGGTGCTTCTTTGGGAGCATATCTTTTGGCCTTCGAATTCCTGGCAACCGAGTATTAGACCAGTGTGTTCACTGTTCAGTGGCGTAAATGCTAGACCCTGCTGACCCTGGCGCCATGGCAGCCGAATGGGCGCCCATCCGGTGCCATCTGCGGGTTGACATCATTGGCCTCCGTAGGCCCCTCGCCTACCCATCGGCGCGCCTCTGCTTGCTTTTTCGTCTTTCTCTTGCAGCTTCAGCGCCCGCGTGGGCTGCATGGAGGAGGGGGGACCAATCATGCCTAATCCAGCGCTTAGTTCACCCTTTGGAGGACACATGGTTCTGGCTGCCTCTGTATACTGCTCGTGACCCTCTGTGTCGCTTTGGACCTGATGACTCGTGCTCGTCTGGCTCCGTGCGACATGGATGGGACCCTGAACGCTTGTCGACGTCATCGCGCAGGTGGAATTCAGGCAAAATTTTGACGTCCCAGAGAGCAGCGTAGCAGCAACCCAAGAGGCAGGGTCAGGTAGAAAACGAGGGGCACAGGGCTCAAGCTCCTCCACCGCGATGGCGACTAGCTGGAGGAGTTTGTTCCCCGTCGAATTTTCGATTGCAGGCGCCGCCAGAGGAGTGAATTGTAGTCGCACAAGGCATGCCGTCAGCTTTCCCAATTCATGCCGTACCGGTGTCGATCTGCCGTATTCCTGGCCCATAACACGACTGTTTCAGGGATGGATCCAACAGTGCGGGCTGCTCGTTGGCTTGGGGCTCTGGGGGGTCTAAATATGCTCCTGCAGGATAAGAGCATGTCTCTTTCCAAGCTGGAGTGGCGGAAGACTCGTGGGCAACCCCAGCGAGAAAGCATTCCACCTTCCGCAGTCCGCTAAGAGGTGGTGCTGGGTGCGACTGGGGAGCCACAAATAGTCACCTCATCTCTTGCAGTCACTCTTACTCCGTCAAGCAGGGCATTCCCCACGCGAAAAGCCACCCCGTCAGCTTACCGAGGCCGAGATGGCTCGCTGGAGAGGACGGGACGTGGTTCTGCCACAGAAAGAGGTGTGAATGTGGGTGTGGGTGTGTGCTGTCGACAGTGGTGAGGAGTAGGAGGAGGAGAGGGTCTCGTTGGCAGTCGGAAGGAGGGAGAATGAATGGATGGGTCTTGGACCGACTGACTGAGTGACTGACCGGAGGTGGGATTGCGGGTATCTGGCCTATCGTTCTGATACCCATAGGCTCCAGTTTGGTCCCTTGCTGTTCCTAGCCGATTGAGTGTTGAAATTCCCTTCAGCCTCGAACTGGTCGATAGTAGAGTACCCAGTACATAGGCCCAGCGAGCCAGCAGCCGCCAAGCAGACGACTCCTCCCCGGATTTATCCTCTTGCCTCAGCTCTGCCTCAATCACTGCTGAACCCATCTCTTTTTTTTTTTTTTGCAGACGAGCATCCGAGTAGACGACAGGGTCGACTCGCACCTCGGGCACGGTCGCGTTTCAGGGCTCCAGTTTCTTCCTTCTTGTTCCATTCGTGTCTCTGGCCGCGTGAAGTGGGATTGCGCTTGGCCCCCGCTTGTCTTTGGAACGAACGACGCTTTTGGTGGTTGATCTGCGCTGCCGGACGGAGATCTTGGGCTCGGTTGCTCGCGAGACAAAACGCATATCGCAGGCCAGCATCGCAGGCAGTAGCCGGTTGACCCGAGTTTCGCGCAAAGAGCAGGGCCTGAGGTACGTTAGCATGGCTCTTCTGCCCCTCCCGGTCATCCAGGGTTGCGCATTTGGCGCCTTCAATCGGTGTGTTTTTTTCGGGTGGGTGTGGGATTACCGTAGTCGAGTCCCCAAGGGCGAAGACCCAGCAGACCCAGACAACCCAGAATAACCTCCTTCACACAGCGGCGACCCTGGCCCCGCCCTCGCAAACAGCACAGAGAAGACAAGAGACGGCCAGATCTGTTCCTGATATGATTTTGCAGGTCATTTCTGCTCAGCCTCAACCCGAGCCGAATAACCTGGTGAGAAATTCTCGCTGCCAGACTCGAGGGTATTTTGCTTGGTTGGGCGGCTGGATCGAGCTTCGGGATCAGCAACCAAGCGACCATACCAACAACCACATCGGACGGACGGACGTCACTCTGCTGCTGGTCGAAGGGCTGCTTCAAATTCATCCCAAGCCGAGTCAAGTCGTTGCGGGAAACCACCGCCGGCACGCCACCAACATACACCTCCTGGCATTCGTGCACTGCAGTATTCCTTCCTCCTGCCATCTACGACGAAGGAGTTGATCATTTGCTGATTGCTGATTGCCAAAAGCATCCTCCTCCTCGCCCAACCCTGGTTGGGCCTTGCATTGATTTACTGTTTACCTTTTTCCTTTGTGGATTCCAGAGGTCGGTAGCCCCCGTTGTATACTTTGATTTGAGCCTTGCGGCACGGGCACCAGGTTCTAACAACCTCAACCTCGCCGTCTTGCCAAACCGCTGACACTATGCCTGCAGGCAGTCCATTTCCTCTAGCATCCTATCTACCATCCTTATCTTCACCAACGGCCCCTACACTACCGCCACTACCCGTACTCAGTCTGGATAGCCAGAAACGTCGGCTACGGCTTTTTGCAAGAATATCGACAAAAAGACGAGCGAGTCTGTGACGCCCTCATCCAGCCGGTGCCAACCCACAACTCAGAACCTCTTCGTACCTTGTACACAGACCCCCCGCTCTGATGCCCAGCACACCGACCGCCATGTCCGAGGAAGTAAGTACGACAAAAGCAAATCGACCTGTTCCAAGGCGGTGGCTCGAAGCATCGTAACCGCTCTATGGCTGACTCGTTTGACCCGATCCAGATCGAATTTGATTTCGGCGATAATGTCGAGAAGAGCACCTTTGAGCAGATCCTCGACATGGACGAGGAAGACGACCGTGACTTCAGCAAGTCGATAGTGTTTGGATTCCTCGAACAAGCCGAACAGACCTTTGGCAAAATGGACAGTGCAATGTGAGTCCGCATGCCTTGCGACAACGGCCAGAGTTCTCACTGGATGGGTTGGGCGTCGGCTGACGTTGTCTTGGACAGGAAGGACAAGGACCTCCCCGAGCTTTCCAGCCTCGGCCACTTTCTCAAGGGCTCGTCTGCCACCCTTGGCTTCACTAAGGTGAAGGATGAGTGTGAGAAAATCCAGCACTACGGACACAAGAAAAACGAGACCGGCGAGGTCGATGAACCGGATGAAGACAAGTGCCTGAAACTCATTGGTGAAAGCATCGCCGAGGCCAAACGAGCTTATGAAGTCGTCAACGACCTGATGAAGAAGTTTTATGCCGATCCTTGATCAACTCGGGCTTCACGAGATAAACGTTCCTGCGCCCGAGCGCTGGCACAATACCACCTGGGACGACGTTCAACAAGGAAGCATTGCATTTAGACCTCGACTAGCTGGCTTGTCTACCAAGCTCAACGACAATACGGCGCTCATTCGCAACTCTGACGTACTCCGCGCGATGCATGTGCGAGCAAGGACATCGGCCAAATCACCTCAAAAGATTCCTCTTTACATATGGCATGCTTTAGACTGCAAGTTGTGATGCTTCATTGCTTCTATTTGGGACAGGGTGGAAACCGGGCATCGTTCGTCATTGAATTGAGGACTGACAGAACAGAGATTCTTGCGCTACCGTTCGGGCCGTGAGCCAAACAACGGATACATAGTAACCCCTTTCATCATGCCCCTTTCTTTCGAGGCAATCTTTTCTGCTCTAGTTATCATCTTCTAACTGTGTCTGTAACTAATCTATGTAGCTACAGTCCTTCTGAAGCGTCCATCTCCGCCTCGATCTCGGCTTACACCCGCATTGTTCGGTCGCAGTGATTCCTTATCGGCAACAGAAACATGCTGTTTTCCTCCTCGCGGAATAGGCTGATCTCCCGATCCCCCTTGTTCCGAGAAGTGGTATGCTCTGACGCATAATACCTGTCACCGAGTTTCGTCCACCTGCCGGACCACACCAAGCCAGCAAGTCAACCTCTCACACGATCTGAGAGAAAGATACCTCCCTCTCCGGACTGACGCGAGAAATGCGATAAAACTACGAGGCCACAGGGTCAAAAAGATCAACATGATCGGCCAATGACCTAGGCCCGATCTTCCGATTGCTGGGCGCCGGAACACGCAATGTCTAAGTCATCACTCAGACCTTGTCGGTATCGCCAATGTTCACTCGGACGCCACCGCTATCGCTGTCAGGGGAACCTGCATCTGTGCATGGTTAAAATGATGTGGCGTGGGGAGGAGTAGACGGCGGATCACCCACATCGTGATCATCACCATCTGGCTCTCTCCGATGACGACCAGAAGAAGGCTTGGTACCAGCGACATGGGCCCCAAGGTGACCACAAAACTCCTCTGGGATCGGGTCGTTGTCTAGATCTCGGTCGAGATTCTCTTTCACCTCGCTTTCTGCTAAATGACCATGGGGCCGGATCATGGCGGTGGTGTTTGCCTTGGTGGTGGTCACGGATGCAGTGTGGCTCACTGGAGCGGCGCCTGCTCCGGCCTGATCAGTTGGGCTCCTCGATTGAGCATGTGTAATTTTAGCAAGGAGTCCAGCATGTCGGCTGTGTCTCTGGCGATCTCTATCTTGGATCGCCAGACTCCGAGGTGCCGCGGCCTGTTGCCAGCTGGAGATATCACGCGTCCACGTACGGTTCTGTTTCAGCGCTTGAGGTCTGTCGTTGCTTGTCAGGGTCGAAGGGTAAAGTCTGTCGAGAAGGGCGGGGGAGCGCGAAGACATGGATGGGATTTGTCGTGCGACGCAGGAAGAGGCATTGTGATTGCAGGTTTGACGCGCTTGGAGAGGGGTTGCTCTGCTTTGGCGGAGCGGGCTCAGGTAAATGGGAAGAATCGTGTCGATGAAGAGAGTTCGAAATGGAAGTTGGGATGGCGGGTTAGGAGGGAGGAAAGGTGTTCATCTGGAAGAGGATTGAGAAGGATTGAAAGCGAGAAGGTCAACAGAGGGGGTCATATCGCCTGGTGGTTCTGTCTTTGTGTCTCTGTCTGTGTCTGTGTCTAGGTTTGCAATTGCAATTGTGTTTGTGTTTGTGTTTGTTGTTGTGATTGTCTTATGTCTGGTCTCGGTGATGGTAGTGAGAGAGAGCACTGGCATCATTCTTTTGTGATAAAGGTAGCTTGCTTGCGTGCTTCCCTACTTACTTGCACGCTTCCTTCCTTACTCGCTTGCTCGCACGTCCACTCTCCTCCTCCTGCTGCTGCTGCTATCATCTGGGCCCTCAACTCTTGCGATGCTGGAGTGAAGCCGAGACGGTTTGACACGCCCATGCCCGAAATGGGCCCGTCTGCGAAAGGGTTGTCTCGGTCCATCCATTCGTTGTCCTAGAGGGCCAGAGCCCTTCGGACGCCTCGCAGGGACTTTCCTTCTATCCAGGCAGTACATATACTGTGTTGTACTGTGCACTGTGCTATACCCTGTTGCGCTGTCCTGTGTTAGGATGGTATGGTACGGACCACCGGCCGACCACGTGTACTTGGTACATAATATTATATACCCTCGCCCGTGGCCTTTCCCTTGCGGTTGCGCGGTTAGCCAGCGAGGGCTGGACTAGTCGAGTACGCCCCGTACATGTTGTGTGACTAAGTGACTTTGAGGTAATTGTGCCCAAGCACAGAGTTCCCCTCCGGTCACGCGTCACGCAAGGCTGGTGCGCCCTGCCTAGAACCCACTCGCTCGACTAGACCGGAACTGCGGACCAGGGTATAGCGTGCCTCGAAATATACGTATGTACCTAGAAGTAAGCATGCACTCGGGTTCTATTCAAGGGCAAAGACAGAGATTGAGGGAAAGAATCGTGAACGTGGAAGGGCAAATGTCAGTAGAAATAAAAATGACAGATTCGAGATAAATAGTAGCTGATGAACGGACAAGCATTTTCGGCTGATGGATCAGCCACACACAACTCCTCTCAAGAAGGCAGCAGAACAGATTCTGGATTGCCCTCGACACTGCAGCACAAGTAAGAAGAAAACGACTAGTCAGTGCTCGCAAAAGAACCTCGCCCTCGAACAAAGGCGATCGGGTACCCCCATGTGAACCCTGCCTTGTTCCCTCAAGCCGGTGTAGTCAGCCATTATTGCGCCGCGATCAAACCATTGCTGGACCCCAAATTGCCAAAGGTCCTCCCCACCAGACTCCTTGCTGTCGGATATACTCGGTACATCCCGTTCCCAAACCAGTTCCTGACAGGCTTCGTTTGCTCCAACCGCCGGGGGATCTCTTGTTTTCATACAAATTCCAGAAGCAAAACTTGTTAGTCACCATGGACCCACGATGACAGACATGACGGTGTTGGCATGTCATGGGCAGTGACTGAAACCTCGACTCTCTTCACTCGATCGCGGCGTCCTCGGAAGACATGCCGTTAGGTAGAGGGCTCGACACTTCAATGTCGCCGGATCAACCCGATCGAGGGAGTTGTCGGGGCCGCCGTGGCCGTGGCCACTTCAAGGTCTGAAACCCTTCCTCGTAGGCCGGGGAAGGATCAATTTGCTGGTCTACATGACAAATCGTTCCTGTCGATTGTCCTGGAGAGCCAATGGCATGGAAGTCCAGTCACCCGGCATCGCGACGTGATGGGACATGTGACCGTGACGAGGGCGAAGGCCATAGTCCTCTGGCTCAGTACTCTGAGGTCTCCGAATGGCGCTTCCGGGATAATAGAGCGAGTGACCGCCATAGGCGGGATCCGGATAGCCGTAGTTGTCCAGAGGGGATGGTGTTGGCAACGTTCCACCACCCGGCGAACCCCATACCAGAGCTCCCAAGTGGGGAGAAGCGCTGCCGCTAGCAGTGCCATTGGCCGGAGGCTCTAGAGGTTGGGGTGGACCATAGGCTGGTGGATGAGATGTGGTAGGTCTCTGCTGCGGTGCGCTTGTATAGTTCTGGAGAGAATGGGCAGTCAAAGGTGGTGTCGAGCGAGGGGAGTTCTGCCCAAAGTCAGACCGCATGTGAGGGGGCAGGGAATGGGTTTGAGGCAAGAATCCATAGTCTGAACCTTGACGTTGGATGCCAATGGCGAGAGGCGGAAGCTCTGAATTGGGTGAAATTGACAAGGTTCTATCTGCGGGCGAAGCCGTCGAGTTTCTCGAGGAGCCTCCTGAAGTGGACCCGTAGACGGACTGACTCTGAGGCAGTGCTGGTGCCAACTTCGCATTGACTTCTGCGGCTGCTTCCTCCAGTGTGCCCGTGTGCGAATTCTGATGCCTGGTCAGGGTCGTCCGTCTTGTGAAGGTCTTCTGACAGTTTGCATATTCACACTTGTAGGGACGCTTTCCCGAGTGAGTGCGTCGGTGCCGCGCAAGAGAGCTGGAGTCAGAAAATGGCTTGCAGGAGGTTTAGTCTCAGGTATGGTAGATCGAATGCTGATCGGCATGAAGACTTACTTTTCCACAGTTCCCACACAAGTGGGGTTTCTCTCCTGTGTGGACCCTGAGATGCACAGTCAAGGCAGACCGCTGGATAAATGACTTGTTGCAATTTGGATGATCGCAAACATGAGGTCTGTCGCCGCTATGAATGCGTTCTTCCTGAAGTTAGCGGGTCGCTCATGCTAGATGCGGGGGCTCCTCACCGTGCCTGGCTAGGTCACTGCGTCGCGCAAAGCCTTTCGAGCAGGTGCTGCAAGGAAACGATTTGGTGGCTGTCTCGGTCTTTACTTTAACAGGCGGCAGGTTCCCGTCCGAACCCGTGGTCTGGCTGTCATGGCCCGGCATGCAGCTGCTCGGAGCGTACAGTTGAGGGCTGTGCTGGGGTGCCGCCATCATATTATATGGCAGCACATGAGACTGTTGGATTGATTGCGAGTGGTGAGCCAGAGTTGGCCCTTGGTCCATACCATATGACGCTTCGCCGTCCATCTGTAGCGACTGCTGAAATCGGCTCAGCTCGTCGTTGCCTTCAGGATGATTTCTCCTATTCAGGAGGGTCGAAACGTCCATTCCCCCCTTGGCGGGAAGCTGCAACAGAGGTGCCAAAGCTCGTTGGTAGAGAGCCCGGCTTTGAGGAATTGGAAGGCGTGGGAAATCGAGCCCGAGGTTTGATGACTGCATGGTTTTGGCCGTCAGCAAATGGCACACAGAAGAAACAGTCAGAGACGATGGGGAGTCGAGACATTGAAGGACACCTTGGCCCTCCAAGGGATCAGTGCCAGATTAAAGAGGGTCAAGGCGCCGTGGCACGTAGGCGCTCACGCTCTGGCCCTCGTTGATCCGACGACCACAATGGCCGAGGGCCTCAATGCACAGTCCATTGTTTGTCCGAGCGAGACCGCCACCAAGAGGCCTGGGGGTTTGTATCTCACCTCAAGCAACAGCAGGTGTTTGACGAGATGCAGAAAGGAAAACACGGAAGGGGAAAAAGCTGAAAGGCGGCGGATGAGTAGGCCTACAGCTGACTGGAATGTAAGAAAACAAGGGGAGCAGCAATGCTGGTATTCCCTCGGCAACCAGCCAATTTTCCTCTCCGAGACACTTCTTTGTCGACGCCAATAATTCGGGTCTGTGTTCTTGTGACGGAAAACTGGCTGAAGTCTGGTCTGGATTGGGACAGGAATGGTTCTAGGTCTCTGCCAATTGGCCTGGGGGTGAGGCAGACGCTGGTGCTATGTCTGGCGCGAGGGTGAAGAGGATAGAATTTCGCTCCTCGTGAATCAGCGGCCACGTTCTTGGGAGGCTCTTGGGATTCTGGAGCTCGGATCTGCCGCTCCAAGGCGGTATTTGGAGGAAATGAATGAGGTGGTGTTTTGTTGCCTTCAATCTTCAATCGGCCCTCACATCCGACTCGGACTCCAATACCCCAATTGACAGCCGTTAGAGACAATCCCAATGCCAATGGAATCGTTCCTCTAGACAAGGGAGGTCGATCCAATCGTAGGGGACCAGAAATTGAAGACTAGTGTTGATTGTCTTTGGAGGGAGCATCGGAGCGGTGGCTGCTGGAGACGCGAGTGTAGGGGCCGCACGGTGGAGTGATGCTGACGGTTCTGGGTCGGGACTGCACAGAAGATGTCGAGTCGATTGAAGGGAGTGACAGTGGTGGAATTGATAGTTGAGCACAGAGCAAGCCGTGCATCGAGCGCGGTCTCTTTGGGAGGAACAGGAGTCGCAACAGTAGCAATAGCGGTAGCGACAAGGTGGAATCGGGAGCATAGGCGGAGAGGGAGAGCACAGACAGACTCAGGCACGGATCGTCTGAGAAAGGGCCACAGCGTCCAGGGAGGGAGGTGATGATTTCTTTATTTCTCGAGGGCACTGCCAGGACCAGCTGGAGTGGCATAATAGAAAGCAAGTCACAACTCCAAACACATCATGACTTGGTGTTTAAAGCAAGTCGTTGTCGGCAGTCGTCGGTCGGCGCAGCTGCAGAGTTTGAGGTTGTTTGGTGGTGGAAACGCAGGATGGAGTTCGGGGGGGGGGGGCACTCTGGGCCTACTAGCCCCCTCTGGGCCCCCTACCCAACGTGTACTTGTAGGCTGATGAACTGGGGGTGCCAATGACTGCCAATGACTGCCGATCCGAAACAGCTTCAGGCCCTCACATGCCTCGCAGGTGCCTCGCAAGAAGCAGCCACCAGCAGCCAAGCCGGTCCAACTCAACATCCCCTTTGTTCTATCTCGGTCTACGAGGTAGTTTCTCACACTTTGCGTTCCTACTAACTTAGGTAGGTAGGCTCGGGCAAATGAGGTCGAGCCCCAGCTGAGCACTTTATTCGTTCCACACGAG